GACTATAGTTTGCTCTCTGTCATGAGGATACAGGGAAGGAAGATATCTATAAGCCAGGACGTGAGTCCTTACCAAACACCAATCTACTAGTGCCTTGATCTCTTGACTTCTTAGCCTCCAGAGCTGCGAGAGATCAATGTTTGTTGTTTAGGCCACTCAGTCCATGGTATTTTTGTTACAGCAGCTTGAAGTGACTGAGACCACAAGTGAAATGTGAACTAGGTGGGAAAAAAAATACAACGTATCAAATTTTATGGGATGCAGTAAAATAGTGCTTAGTGGGAAATTTATAGCATTGAACGCCTGTATTAGACAAAGAAGTAAGATGTAAAATCAGTCATCCAAGCTTCCACCATAGGAAACTAGAAAAAAGAAGTACAAATCAAATCCAAACTAAACAAAAGAAAAAAACAAATTAAAACAGAAATCAATGCAATTGAAAACAGGGAATTAATAGAGAAAATCAATAAAATCAAAAGATGTTTCTTTTAAAAGATCAGTATAACTGATAAGCCCTTAGCCAGTCTATCTAAATAGAAAAGAAAGGCAAAACAAATTACAATGATCAAAAATGAAAGAGAGGGCATCACTATGGACCCCATGGCATGAAAAGGATAATAAGAGAATGCAATGAACAACCCTACACCCAGAAATGTGATGACCCAGATGAAATGGACCAATTCAGTGAGACACAATTTGTCAAAACTCTTATAGGAAGAAAGAGTCTGAATAGCCCTATGTCTAAAAAAGAGACTGATTCAAGAATTCATAAACTTTCGGGGCACCTGTGTGGCTCAGTTGGATGAGCGTCCGACTTTGGCTGAGGTCATGATCTCCCGGTTTGAGAGTTCGGGCCCCACGTGGCTCTGTGTTGACAGCTCAGAGCCTGGAGCCCGCTTTGGATTCTGTGCCTCCCTTTCTCTCTGCTCCTCCCCTGCTCACACTCTCTCTCTCCTTCAAAAATAAATAAACATTTAAAAAAAAGAATTAATAAACTTTCAAAACATAAAACACCAGGCCCAGAATTCACTAGTTAATTCTACCAAACATTTAAGGAAGAAATTATATAAATTCTCTATAATCTTTTCCAGAAGATAGAAGCAAGAGTACTTCCTAGTCTATGAGGCCAGGATTACCCTAATACCAAAACTGAACAATGAGATTACAAAACAAGCAAACTAAAGACCAATTATCTCTCATGAACATAGATGCAAAAATCTTCAAAAAAAAAATCTCAATAAATTGAATCCAACAATGTATAAAAATAATTCTACACCATGACCATTAGGGGTTTATTCCAAGTAGGCAGGGCTGGCTCACTATTCAAAAATCAATTAAGGTAATGTACTCTACCAATAGACCAAAGAAATGAGGAAATATTTAAAACTGAATGATAACAAAAATGCTATATATCAGAACTAGGAGACACAACTAAAGCTCTACTTAGAGGCAGAAATGTAGTTCTAAATGTATATTTTAGAAAAGAAGAAAGTTTGGGGTGCCTGGGTGGCTCAATCGGTTAAGCATCTGACTTCAGCTCAGGTCATGATCTCACAGCTCATGGGTTCAAGCCCCACATTGGGCTCTATGCTGACAGCTCAGAGCCTGGAGCCTGCTTCGGATTCTGTGTCCCTCTCTTGCTCTGCCCCTCCCTCACTCATGCTGTCTCTCTCTCTCTCTCTCTCTCTCTCTCTCTCACTCTTTCAAGAATGAATAAACATTAAAAAAAATTAAAAAAAGAAAAGAAAGTTAGAAAAAGTATTGTAAATTATATTTAATAAGAAAGAGCAGAAAGAAGGAAGCAATAAGTAGAAAATAATGAAACAAGAAAGAATAAAATAGATTTCACAGAACTGATCATTGATTCTTTCAGAAGACCAACAAAATTTGGAGACTAATAAAGGAAAAAAACATGGAGTAATTAACCAGTATCTAAAATAAAAATGAAAAATGAACTATTGGGACCTCATCAACATAAAAATCTTCTGCACAGCAAAGGAAATAATCAGCAAAACTAAAAGGCAACTGACAGAATGGGAGAAGATATTTGCAAATGACATATCAGATAAAGGGTTAGTATGCAAAATCTATAAAGTACTTGTCAAACTCAACACCCAAAAAACAAATAATCCAGTGAAGAAATGGGCAAAAGAATGAATAGACACTTCTCCAAAGAAGACATCCAAATGGCCAAACGACACATGAAAAAATGCTCAACATCACTCAGCATCAGGGAAATAGAAATCAAAACCACAATGAGATACCACCTCACACCTGTCAGAATGACTGAAATTAAGAACTCAGGAAACAAGAGAAGTTGGCAAGGATGTGGAGAAAGAGGGTGTCTTTTGTACTCCTGGTGGGAATGCAAACTGGTGCAGCCACTCTGGAAAACAGTATGGAGGTTCCTCAAAAAATTAAAAATAGAACTACCCTACAACCCAGCAATTGCACTACTAGATATTTATCCAAGGGATACAGGTGTGCTGTTTCGAAGGGACACATGGACCCCAATGTTTCTAACAGCACCATCAACAATAGCCAAAGTATGGAAAGAGCCCAAATGTCCATTGATGGATGAATGGAGAAAGAAGATGTGGTATGTATGTGTACATATGTATGTACACATATGTACGCATGTGTATATATGTGTATGTATGTGTACATATGTATGTACACATATGTATGTATATGTATATATACACATATATATGTATATATATATATATATACACACACACACACACACACAACAGAGTATTACTCGGCAATCAAAAAGAATGAAATCCTGCCATTTGCAACTGAAGGTATTATGCTAAGTGAAATTAGTCAGAGAAAGACAAATATCATATGACTTCACTCATATGAGGACTTTAAGAGACAAAGCAGATGAACATAAGGGCAGGGAAGCAAAAATAATATAAATAATAATAATATAAATAATATAAAAACAGGGAGGGGACAAAACACAAGAGACTCTTTAAATATGGAGAACAAACAGAGGGTTACTAGAGGGGTTGTGGGAGCGGGGATGGGCTAAATCGGTAGGGGGCATTAGGGAATCTACTCCTGAAATCATTGTTGTACTATATGCTAACTAACTTGTATGTAAATAGAAAAAATAAATTAAATAAAAATGAGTTTTTTTTAACGTTTATTTATTTTTGAGAGAGAGAGAGAGAGACAGAGCATGAGCAGGGGAGGAGCAGAGAGAGAGGGAGACACAGAATCCGAAGCAGGCTCCAGGCTCTGAGGTGTCAGCACAGAGCCTGACACGGGGCTGGAACTCACAAACCGTGAGATCACGACCTGAGCCAAAGTCAGACACTCTACCGACTGAGCCACCCAGGCACCCCCCCTTCTTTTTTTTAATGTTTATCTATTTTTGAGAGAGAGAAAGACACACACACAGGGTGTGAGCAGGGCAGGAGCAGAGAGAGAGGGAGACACAGAATCCCATGCAAGCTCCAGGCTCTGAGCTGTCAGCACAGAGCCTGATGTGGGGCTCGAACCCGGAAGCTGTGAGATCCTGAGCTGAGCCAAAGTCAGACGTCCAACTGACTGAGCCACCCAGGCACCCCAACAATTGTCTAACTTTCATAACACTGTTTGTCAGGAAGGTAACCTGGCACAACCACTTTGGAATACTGTTTGGTAGTATTACCTAGAGCTGCACTGGCCAGTGTAGCAGTTCATAACCACATTAGTTATTGGACACTTGAAATGTGGCTGGTCCAATTGCTATAAATGTAAAACACACATTGAACTTTGAAGATTTAATATGTAAAAAACAATGTAAAAATATCTGATTAATAATTTTCATACTGAGGACATGCTGAAATGATAATATTTTGGATGTGCTGGATTAATAAAATGCACGCTTAATATTAACTTTTAAAAAACCTTTTTAATGTGGCTACTAGAAAATTCTAAATTACATATACGACTTGACTTGTACTATATTTCTAGGATGGTGCTGATCTACAGCTAAGATTCATTCATTTTTTATTTCTGGGTATATTCCCAACAGAGATGTGTATATACACGCAGTGAAAGTGAAGCACAAGAATGTTTATAGCAGCATTATGCGCAATAACTAAAAATGGGAAATAACCCAAATGCCCTTCAACAGTGGAATGGATAAATAAATAAGGGGTAATTACAATAATGAAATACTATTTAGCAACAAAAATCAGTAAACTATAACTGTATTCAACGACCTGGATGACTCTCACAGTGTTAAATATTAAATCATCTCATTTGATTCCATATATAAAGTTTAAATGGGAAATTAAGCTACCGTATTAGAAGTCAGGATACTAGTTTGGGGAGAATACTAGCTGTAGTGACTGGGAGGAGGCTTTGGGAAACTGGCAAAGTTCTGTGACTTGGTAGGGTGGTGTTATGTGGGTTTTTGCTTTGTGATAATTCATTGGGCTGTACATTTATGTACATTCGTATGTGCAGTAATCTGTATGTTGTTATCCCTTCATAATAAAAAAAAAAAAACTAAGAGGGGTTAGGGAGGCTTATATCAATTTATTGCAAATATTTTTAACAAATGCAAGGCCTCTTTGAAAATAAAGGTCTTCATGACTGATCCATTTATGTAAATTGCACAAAATCAAATTAAGAGTTGTTTTTTGAAGACCATATTTTGCCCAGTAAGGAAATCTGGATACTTTCTAAATAAGTCGTTCTAGGTATGACTCTCTAGTTTAAAATAAAAATATCTCTGCCCTTTGCTTGGTCAGGAAGCTTGGCATGATAGTCCATTTCCTGACAGATATGTCAATAGTGTTGACAAAAATAAAATAAAGAATCTCAGAATTGCAGAATTTAAGGGGACATTGAAGCCTAGCCTTTTTTTCTGAGTTGTGATTTCTTTGTGAAATCGATGGAATCGAGGGCACTTCCTCTTGAAAATGCATGTGTGTACAATACAGATATATATATATAATATTTTACACATAATTTCAGTTGGCTCACCATGGTAGTTTGTCCAGTCCAGGTTATTTGGTAGCTAAAGCTCTAAAGCAGAAAGAGATCAAGTGACATGGCTGGTTAGTGGAAAAACCAGTACCAATACTGCAGACTCTTAATTTCCAAACCAGTCATTATTCTTTCAAGTAAAGCAGTTTCCTTCTCCTGTGTACCCATATATGTATTATATGTAATATATGTGTATGTAATATATATATGTTGTATATAATGTTGCATATAATAGATATATATGTATTATATGTAATATATATATAACATATATACATGTTGTTCTCATATGATTCTCATATATGATTGAATTCTCATGTAATTCTGTCCTTATCCCTTTGCTTACTTGAGAGAAGCTTTCACCTAAGAAGATGACTCCCCTTTTTAAAATAATATCCTATAAATTGTTCTCTATCACTGTATTTGAGGCTATGCATTGTTTCCGGACCACACTGTAGGAACCATGCCTTATCTGTCTTTGTTTTCCCCAAACCACCTAGCTAAGTGCAAGAAATATATCCATTATAAAACCAACATGTGTTGCCTTAAAAGGACATGCAAATATATGACTGAAACTTCATGACAGAATGATAGCCTGTAATTACAGTGTTATTAGGAGCTTAGATTCTGGTGTCAGACTGACCTAAATATGAATTCAGCCTCTGCTATTTACTAGCTCTATGTTTTGGGTGTATTACTTAACCTGGGTCTCGCTTGGTAAATCCGATGGTACCAAACTGAATTTATACGATCATTGCGAGGATTAAGGAGATAATCTACGTGAAATCTGTTGAGCAGTATCTGGTACATAGATTTTAGTTAGCTGTGATTGTTGTTATGACATACTCAACCCTTGAATTAAAGACTCAGTTGGAGCACAACAGATTTAGATTCTTAGAATTATACTGGTCAACCTTAGTCTACCCAATCCTGGAATTATTCACAGATGGTTCTAACAGATTCTGCTTTTGCTTAATACATTCCAGCGACAGGGAACTCATTAGAACCAACTGAAGCAGCTCCGATTCTTCCAAAGTTCTTCCTTACTATTAGGTTGAGTCATATGAAATTGCTATTTCTGGGTCAAAACAATTAAATTATCAACAATGTATTTAAAAAGGCCAGAAATTTGTCTTTCTATCCTTGCCTCTTGCTTTGACATCTTCTCTCTCCTTCTACAGGACAATCCTTTAGAGACAATGGAGAGTCAATGGGGAACAAGACAGACCTAGCTCCTGCCTTCACTGAGGTTTACATGCTTATTAAGGAGACAACAAAATAAGCAATTGTGTATCATTTTCAGATTCAAGGAGCTGGAAGAATAACGTTGCAAGCAAAGGGCTTAACTGAGCAAATTCCCACGGAATGTATCACACATGAGGAACTGAGAGTATAGAGCAGCACTGCCGGAAGACTTTTCTGTGATGATAAAAATACTCTGTGTCGGCACAGTCCCTTATGATAGCCACCAGTCACCTAGGGCTACTGAGCACTTGAAATGTGGCTAGTGTCATGTCACTCAGGAAATGCAATTTTAATTTAACTTAATTTTAATTAATTTAAATTTAAATAGCCATATGTGGCTAGCGGCTACCAGGCTGAACAGAGAGTATAAAGGAAGAAGATAAAAGGACAAAAAGATGAGACTGGAGAAGTCAGCAGGGTTCCAGACCATGAAAAGCCTTGAGGTGCATGTTAATAACTATGATTTTAACCTCAGGAGGATTTTACATTCCAGGGTATAACATGATGAGATAGGAGTTTTAGAAACATAGTATTGGCTGCCTTATGGAGATAGACAGGAGAAGGGTAGAGAAATGGATCTTGTCTTTAGGAGTTGGCTCTATAAGGGGAGAGATGGGAACAAAGGCAAAATGACTCAAAGATATCTCAAAGAGACAAAGACATATATAACGAATCACACCCAGTCAAAGGCATCACTCATGTATATGTTTATATACATTGTGCACTCATGATCCACATTTCTTGCCTTTTTCTAGTTGCTCACAGGACATCTACCCTCCCAAGTATTTCTGTGTGTCCCCAGTGGTACCTGAGCTCACAAGGAAGTCTATTAACAAAATATCCACGCAGCATTCACCTTGTTCTTCCTCCTCTGTGCATTTATCACTTTGTTCTTCTCTGGTCCTTGCCACTGACGGTACTTTGAGGTACTCTGAGGGCACTGCTCTGTTCTCTGCAGAAGGAGGAGGAATGTCCCCATCTCAGCAACCTAAGCCACACTGTTTGGCTCACCCTCCCCTTGATCCTCAAAGCATTTTCTTTAACCAGCTCTTTTGGGCTCCCTCCCCCAACTTCTCTAAGCTTTACATATGGGGTAAGACAAAACAAAACAAAACAAAACGAGAGAAGTACCTAATTGCTGATGGTAATAAGCCGCCATTGGGTCCTTACCCCCCACTCTAGGAACCAATATACATATATATACACATACATACATATAGACATATCACAACTCCTCCCCAGCTCCCTGACACACGCCACATAAAAGCACACACATCTTATGTGTGTAGCACATAGAACTTTGCAACTCCTAGCACGTCAGCTGACATATCCATACAAGGCTGAATTCTCTTCAAGATCAGCCAACACCATCCCTATTCCATATATGCCCTTGCAAAAGAAAGGGACAAAAAAGTACATAAGCAATCACAGTCCAACAGCCACAGATAAGGTGTAAGGGGCTGAAGCAATAGCATGTCATAATGTGAAGTGCATGGACTTTTACTCTGGCACCAGACTGACCTGGATTCAAATCTCAGCCGCATCACTTTTCCTAACTGGGTGGTCTTGGGCAGATCGCTTAACCTCTGTGAACTTCAGTTCTCGGTTCTACAAAATGCCTACGTTTGCGAGTTGTGAACATTAGAAACAGCCCATGTACAGTGCCTAGAAGGTGCCCAATGAATGGAAAGCGGGGGTCTCTCCATCGGTGCTGGGAGCGTTGGAAAACTCAGGATGCCAGAGGCCCTTGCAAAGGGGACGCAGAATCAAGGCCAGAGTGAGTGCGACCACTTCCTTATGCAAAAGCATCCTGGGACTTTATTAGATTACAGCCTTGAACTCGCCTAGTGAGGAAACTGAAGCCAGAGGCAGGAAGTGAGTTAATCAGGGTCACGTAGCAATCCGGTGCCAAAGCCGGGACAAAATTCCAGGTCAGTCCGGAAAGGTTCGGCCCAAGGCTCCTTTCTGCAAGGCAGCGGCCTCCCAGCTGCCCAGGTTCTGCTCTGACCCGCCCCTACCTCACTCTGATGTGACAATTCACTCTTCCTTGGCACCTGAGGTGTCTCCTCACGAGGGCCAAGAGAAAGAGCAGGTGCAGTGTGTTTGTAGAGACTACCGGGCCCTTAAAGACCTCCCCGTCGCCATGGCAACCGGAGCTCGGTTGCCGAGGACCCGCTCCGCCGGCGCCCCCTCCCCTTCACGCAGCGGACGTGACACGTGCGGCGGGGTCACGTGTTGTTGTTGGGCCGCGAAAGCTGCTTCCGGGTCAATGCAGGACACTGGGCTCCGGCGGCCAGAGTGGGGGACGAGGTGAAGCGGAGCCGGGCCGGGGCCGGCCGGGACCAGGCCGGAGGCCGAGCGGCGGCGGCGACGGCGGTGGCCGGGAGGGGGGAGGAGAGGCGCAGCCCGAGGAGCCGCCGCAGCAGCTCCCCCGCCTCCCGGGCTGAGGGGTGAGTGGAGCCCGGGCCCGCCGGCACTGCCGGCTTCTCGAGGCCCCGGGAGCTCCCCTCCGGAGCCGAGGCGCGGAGGGCCGTTCCTGCTGGGGCGCAGTATGCCGGGGCGGGGGGGGGGGGCACGCCGAGAAGAACTCGGAGCGGGACGAGGCCTGCCTGGGAGGAGGGGAGGGCTGGGCCACCTGCCCGCGGCTGGAGGGAGGACGGGGCCAGGCCTGGCTGGGGAGGCGCGGGGAGGGCCCTGGGCTGGGAGGAGGCGGAGGGCTGGGTTGGGGGGGAGCCTGAGTTCCTGGGAGGCTCCGGGCTTCTTGCCGTGCCCTAGGGGCGTGGGGGTTGGAAAGATGCCCTCTGGCTGGTAGGAGATGGAGACGGGTCTGGGGCTGCTGGGGAAATAGGAAACTTTGTCTTCGAACCAGTGTATGGGGTGGGGGGTGGGGGGGGGAGTAGAGGACGTGTCCCCTGGGAGGTTCTGCGGGGAACGGGGCGGGCGGGCATTTCCAGGCCGCTGGGACACTAGGCCTGCTCCTTCCAGGGGCTGATGAAAGGACGCGGTAGTTTAACAAGGGCTCTGGGGAGAATCGTTTTGCCCTCACATTGGGAGACTTTGAGAAGGAGGGAATTGGAGTAAGAAGGGGCCTGAGAGGAGGGTACCCGGCCCTGGGATCTGGGAGGGGGCCAATGATTTCCGTGGAGCTTCATTCTTTGTTGGGGATGGGGAGCATTGAGTTCTAGATCCTCGCCTAGGAGGACATTCTGGGAATTGGTGAAACGAGAAGATTTCATCCCGTCTTCTCTTGGCACAGTGATCCTAGAAGTTGCAGTTGAGGAAAGTTGGTTGGAAGAGTTGAACGGTTGACAGCTAGTGGAAGAAGGAGGAGCTGTCGTCTGAAGGTTGCTAAGTTACTGGGAGTTTGTAGGCAACCGCCTAGGGTTGTTGTTCGGGCAAGTTAGCAGTCCTTTCAGGTCCAGATACTGGCTTAGCTGGGGCTGTCCCCGTTCTATGTATGCTTCCCTGGAGCTCTGAAATTGGTTTCCAAGAGTCCCTTTGGAGCGAAGAGATTATATGTAGGTGCTGAGGACTAATGAAAACACTCAGCCTTTGGGTCCTGAGGCATTAGGGCTAGATCTCTAGGGTAAGAGCTTGCAAACTTTTTTTTTTTTTTTACACATCATGCCCCATATGAAAAAGCACTTTTTACATTATGATCTAGTACATACCTATATAATGAGTGAAAAGTTTCGCAGAGCACTGTTTACCCTTAGGACATGTGTTACATTCTGATAAGTTCTATTCCGTTCCATTCACTTTTATTAAAAAATGCTGACTGAAATCCACCAAATTGATTTGTGGGTCACAAGCTGCTGCTTGAAAAACACTGTCCCAAGGCACAGTCCTTTGGCTTCAGTTAGGGTCCTCATGTTGTATGGTTCTACAGAGCTAGGATTATAAGCAGATGGGGGTGGGGGGTGGGGTCAAGCCAGCCAGGTGCAACTGACCGCTTCATTTGTTTACATCTTTATCACATGTAGCATATTTGGTGTTTTGGACCATAATCTTAACCTTTGGTATCTTAATGTGGCCTGATCATTTTATAAAATTTCTGAAGTACGTGTATGCTTCAATTTTCTCCATCCTTTGCGCTGTCAAAGAAAATGAGAGGCCTAATCCCGTTGAGTTGATTTATCCCTACAACATACTTAAGGTAATGTTAATGTTACAGTGTTGTGAATATACATTGGTTTGCTTTTCTGCCATATTTAGAAAAAAATCTCAAGCTGAAACCTAAACTCTTCTTATTCCAATAATACATGGTAAAAGAGGTATACATAATTAAAGATACAGGTACTTGGTTTCAGTATATACTTTAAACTTAAATCGTAAATCTGAGTATAACTTTGAATGAGTTAACGTCTTAATTCCCCCCACGAAAATGTTTTTCTCTGTTTGTAAAATAGATGAGGTCTTCATATGAACAGTATTATAATGAATATCGGTGAGTATTGGTGAACAGAGAGACCTTCATGTGTTGCTATGTTTAAGTCTTTTTAAAGGTTGTCACCCAGCCTGTTGTTACATGATGTTGAGTGTCAAATAATGTTGCCTGATTTCGGGAGGTAAATGTATAGGGTTTGTATTTAAGACCAGTTTATTGGTGTTAATTTTTGTTGAGGATGCCTTCATATTATTTGGAACTTGGAATTCCAAGCCATAGCCGTGAGAAAAGAATTGCCCAAATTAAACTTCATCACTGGGGCCATATTCTTGATGAGAAGCCTTATGAAAGCATTCTTAATCATCTTCAAACTTCGTGTGTTGTAAATTATATCTTGATTGATTGATTGATTATATCCTGGGTGCTGGTGAGAGGGTCTGTGTTGGCATGTATCAGTCATCCTTTAAAAATGATCTTTTTTTTAATCAGGTAAATATTTGTTTTTGAAATCCTTGGCTTTAAAGAATGTTTAAAAGCTTTCTTTTTGTGGTAGTTGCTTGAAACATGAAGGAAGAGTCTCATTAATTTCGTTTTCCTGGGAATCATGTGTACCTGTCAATAAACAGTTGTGGAGAATTTACCCTGAGTGACTGTGTGTGCTTTTTTTTATAGTTTTCATTTTTTTCTCTTGAACCTCAGACTCTTAGGTCTGTCTACCTATAGTAGGCTCTTTTCCCCTTCCCCTTTTTGCTTCCAAACTTCTCTGGGTTTGGAAATTAGATGCTTATATTTGTTAGAACTTTGTGTAAAATAAGATTGCGCAGCTCTGAATAATGTTCTTTCAATTATATATGTATGCATATTATATGTATACTAATACTAATACTTTTTTTTAGCATATGAACTATGTGACATGTATTTTGGCTAGTCAGAGGCCCATTTATTGACCTCTTAATTGTGGGCTATCTTTAAAGTAAGTGAACTCTTTATATATTTAGTCTAGTTAGGCATATAAGAAGGATTTCTAAAAAGAAACCGGAAATTGACAGTGATAAAGGACCTAAGGAGTGAAGCGATCAGCCGTGATTGTTGCCTTTGCCCTACATGCAATGAGTCATTAAGAGTTGCCATTCCTCCCTTTTTAATCTTTTTCGTTACCCTCTCTTGACTTGGATTTCTTTGCAATTAGAATGCTAACAGCCTCACTGTTCCCATTGTCTGTTACTCTCATTCTACTTGATCTCACACAGCTTCATCAGAGTACTCTTCCAAAGAACAATGCCCTAATTTATCGTTTCTCTTCTCCAAAACCATTAACTTTCTAGTGCCAGCACTGAATAAAGTCTACACTGTTTAAGTTGACATTGACGGTATTCTGGAGCGTCTACTTTTATCCTGACCCTGTTTTTCCATTCCTAAATGCAAATCCTTGTTCCCGCCAAGCTCTCTACTCATTGTACTTTCTTTTTTAACTTGATTCCTAAAAATCTGGGAAACGTGTTCTTCATGAATTCCTACTCATCATTTTATTACATCATTTTATCATCTTCTTCCTCGAAGTCTTTCTTGCCTGTATTGTCAATACTACTTTTCCTACATTGCTTTGTGATATTTGTGTGTGTTTTTTCTTTTCTTTTTTCTTTTTTTTTTTTTTAACCCCTTTTGGATTATAAATTCATAGAGGACAGGAGGCCCAAATGTCCTCGAATCTCTAGGACACCTAGCACAGGGTTTATCAGAGTTCATGGGCCAAGTGAATCAGAATTGACTGAATTTATGGTTAAAATTGCAGGTCTCCAAAAATTCCACCTTAGACTTACTGAATCAGAATCTTAGAATTTGCCTAGGTGAGTCTTCTGTACGGTAAAATTTGAGAATCACTTACCTAGCATGATGCTTTAAATTACAGTAGGTACACACGTAATTTTGGTGCAAATGATGTAAATGAACTGAGTAATAGCAGTTCAGCAGATTGGTTTAATTTTAGGGCTTAGCAGTCAGGCAGCCTAGATTTGAATTCTGTTACCTTTACTCATTAGCCATCTGACATTAACTTTGCTTTTCTGATATATAAAGTGGCAGTAATAATAGTATCATTCATAAGGGAAAGTGACAGTTGAATGAGGTAATATGTGTAAAACAACGGAGTGCAAAGCATGTAGTAAGCTCAATAAATTTTATCTGCTGTGGTCATAATGATCAGCATGATAGCAGTGGTTATGGAAGTGATGAAAAGTGGTGAGAATAGGTTTCACGTCAGTCATTGTTAATAAGCAAATTGCTCAGGGTTTCAAGGATTCAGGCTTAACATTTATTTTCCATTTTAGACTAACAGTGGACCTGTATGGTGCTTAAATTCAATTAGCATGTTAAATTTTCCCCCTTTAACCTCCCCTTTGCCTAAAGAAAACTGCAAACTTTTAAACCGAGGGCCTTCGCCTCATTCCCTCTGGTCCTGCCCGCCCAACATCAATTTCTAGCCCTGCTTACACACACCACACCAGTGCAGTTTCTCACTTTGACTTACTTGGGCCTTTGCACGTGCTTTCCCCCTTTTTCATCTAGGGCATTCCTGTGACTCTTTTAAGACTCAGTTTCATGTGTGGCCAAGCTCGGTGAAGGGAGTCACTCCTTTGGTGTTCTCAGAGTGCTTTTCCCATCCTTACATACTACCTGTGTGTACATTGGACTTCTTTTTGGCAGGGAACGGATTGAGTCCTGGCATGTGTTCTAGGTACATGGTAGGTAGTTAGTCCACCTCTGCTAGAGGCAGAGGG